CTCCCCACTACCCCTCTGCAAGGTATGTCCAGTTGTCTACAGATGGGCATTGGGTCCCCCCATCACGCATCACCCTCATTCACGATATGATTTTATTTTGGTGCTTGCAGCCTGGTCCCTTCGGCCCTTCGTAATCACACAGGCTGGTGTGCTGCTTCCATGTGGCTTTGTTGCTTCTGGGCTAGATGGCCACTTGTTTACTTTCAAGCCTTTAAGTCCCCAGATGCTATAGGTCTCGATAGCCAGGCACCATTAGCCTTCTTCACCACACTTACTTATGCACACATTTGTCTTCAGCATTTATGTGGGGAAGGTGGTCACACAATAATGGTTTTTGTTCCTTGGTGTCTGCTACCTGATCCCTTCAACACCTCGTGATCACACAGGCTTGTGTGCTTCTTCTCTGTGTGCTTTGTTGTTTCTGAGTTAGATGGCCGCTGGTTTGCCGTCAAGCCTTTAAGACCCAGGACGCTATATCTTTTGATAGCTGGGCACCATCACCTTTCTTCACCACATTTGCTTATGCACACTTCTGTCTTCAGCGATCATGTTGGGAAGGTGGGTATCATGAAATGACCCTTTAGCTGAGCAAGGTACTCTTGTATTAAGGGAATGCGCATGAAGAGGCCCAATGCCCACCTGCCACCCTACTACTAAACCTATAAATATTTTGCACCTAGGTCCATTTCCCCCATAATCTTAAATATATTTACATATGTACATGCCTGCATTTAGCCTTCTATGTATGCCCTTTCCCTCCTACTCTTTCCTCTATTTCCTTACGCTTTCCTCCTGTCCCATTACCATGTTCAGCCTTCATTCTGGTTTCGGTAATTCCTCTCAGTTACCTTGCTCAATATTTGCTCATCTTCCAGGGTTGAAAACAATGCATGTAAACTAACAAATATATTTTAACACTATGAAATACATATTACTCGTGATAAGGTATATAAAATAAAGAGATGTCTGTGAATGTGGTTCTTCATAACTAGACTTTGTTGACAGTCAGAGTGTGGCTGCTAATACTGCTATTTAATTTCCAGAGTTGATAAATGAGAAAAGTGACTTGGAAGTAGACTAAAATTAAAGTTGAATTCTAATTATTTGTGGTAAAAAGTAGCATATAGATAAGAAGAATTCACATATAATTTAAAATATGCAAATGATAATTCAGCCAAAAATATCAGATTCTTATTTGAACGTTTCTCTGGTTTTTTTATAAACAGCAAAACAATATTTTCGGTTATAGCTCCACTGTGTACTACTGGTTAACAGAAATACGAATAAGCAATGCAGTGACTAAACAGAACAGTCTCAGCAGACAACACAAAGGTAAAAGACTGATGCAATTCACTCTCATTATCCTTGAATTAAAATGACAAATGAATCTAACATTAATAGCTGACTACATATAATGCTTCTGCAGTTTCATATTATTTTTAAAGGATGAAGTGGAATACCAAGTTGAGATTGATTAAACATTTTTCTTACCTGCCTTTTGTATGTTTCTAACTGTGTACGTGCTGCATTTGCCTTCTTTAGTTCTTCTTCTAAGCTGACTGTATTGTGCATATACATCATGTTCGTTTCTTGTAACGTTTTCACCTGCTTACGAAGGTCATTCAGATCTTGTAGCTTCTGACGATATATCTCAACTGTTGACTCTAATTTATTTGCTTTATCAGAGGTAGCCCTACAATAATAAAAGGCAAACATTACTATTACACAAGTTGTAAACTGACATAACAATTTATTCAGCTGCTAAATGAGCCTTCCAAATAAACTATTAACCAGCTATAACCAAAAGAGAAACAATCTGAAGTTCAAGTTTTTTAATATATAAAAACATCAAAATGAAAATGCTCCGAATGTGATGGTAAATCATAAAACTACTTTCTCTAAAAATGAAATTTTAAAAATTTATTTTAAAAATGAATGGCAGTGGCTGATACCAAGGGCTCAAGTAGAAAGAGAATATTTTGAAAAGGATGATAGTAACATGTACAAATGTGCTTGACACCATGGATGTATGTATGGATCGTGATAAGAGCTGTATGAGGCCCCAATAAAATGATTTAAAAATAAAAGAATGGTAGTGTAAATACAATCTATGCCTTTGAACCCCTCCCACAGCAGGTTATGGGCCACAGTAAATGGCCCAATCTTGCTTTATGTCTACCACTAATTTTATATCACACACCTTGAAAAAACTACACTAAATGATATGCACAATGCAAGGTTGACTCACCTTATTCACCTTGATTCTCTAGAATAGGGCTAGAGAATACGTGGCCTGCAGGCAATACAAGGCCCAGGAGATAATCAATACCAACTAACATCATATACCTCACTAAAGAGAAACAGCTTCTGGCATCATATCAGAAATGAGTTAATTAAGTATTTCACCAAATATATAGCAATCTAATTAAAATAAAAATACCCACACATACTTTTTTTTAAACCTATTTTAGTTTGTAAAGAAAAACATATTGCACGTCATTGCACAGTTCATCTCATCAAACATATCAATAAGAGTATCCTAGTAAAGCCCCTGTAATTGTGGGGTATTTTATCCCTCCATGCTTACTCTCTCTCTAGGTAATTTCCTGTACTTCCCATCTCCCTGCTCTCGACCCTGGTTCCTCGCCACCTCCTCCTGGTCTTCAAATATCGTTTGGTTTAAAAACCACTTGGCTTTCTCTTTTTAATAATGTTCTTGGCATATACTTCACATATCACACAATATAACCAATCAATCATATTAAGGAGCTTTGTACAATCATCATTATGAATTTCAGAACAATTTCTTCTCATACTCAATGTTGTTAGCTCCACATTCCACCCCATCCTCCCCTGCAATACAAGTATGAAATTAATAAACCAATTACTGTCTCTGTAGATCTATCTAACCTGGATTTCATATACAGTAAATCATACAAAACACAAACAGGAAACAAAAACGAACAACCATGACTAGATTAAACATAGAAATAGCTCAATAAAAAAGAAAGCAGAAAATATTAAAAACTGAAACGACTTTAAAGTGAGTCAAAAGGGAGATCAAATGCTATGGAATTACATTTTAATCTAACTATATCTTCCAGAATAGACTTTGCAATGTTCTCTATCTGATAGCAAGATGACTGACATCCCTCAACCATGTTCAGAGGGGCGTCACCAGAGGTTTAATCCATGTGGGGACCCTGCAAATAGATTTTGGGCTTCCATTGTCATCCATAGCCTTCTGAAAACCAGGTGTTCATAATTTATTCTCTGAAACAATTCCCTCCTTTGGATTTGAATTTTATTACTTACAATCTTTGGATCACACAGGCTGGTGTGCTTCTTCAATGTGGACTTAGTTGATGCCTCACTTAGATGGCTGTTGGTTCCAGGACAAGCATTCAAGATCTTGGACACCATTCTTTCTAATACCCTGGCACCATTGGCTTTCTTCACCACACATTGCTATAGCACCCATATCTTCAGTAATCACTTCGTGAGGTGAGCATCAAACAGGCCCATGTCATAAAAATTAATTGTTCTTAGACTGAGGCTAGAATTAAGTGTAAGCCACAGATCCATTCCTATATCTATAGTGTGTGTGTATATATATATATACATGGTTCACTTTAGAGATTTCATTATAATTTTGTGGTAAAGAATATTATAAATCATTTCTTGGGGCATAAAGTAATTCTATTGATAGTGCCATTAACTTAAGTCAATGGTATAGAATTTAAAACACTGTTGAGGAAAGGGCATTGTACAGGTATAGGCCAGTTTCCGACTGCAATATATGAATTATTGACTTGTATAGATTACATTCTTAAGTGTCTGGACACTTTTTTCACACACAGTGGGGGTTTGTGATAGGTCAAACACATTTTTAAAAGGCAGCAGTATGTCGACCAGGCTAATACATGTCATAAGAAAGAAAGGAGGGCACTAAGACAGTACATATATAGTTGACCTGGGCCTCCATTCATTGGGCACTCACAAAACAAGTGATCTAAACTAAGACTGCCAATTTCATAGCCTTGGGATGGCAGGCATCTGCTTCTTTTCACACTAGGGTGTTTCAGAGCAGGTTGATTCTTAGGTTGACAGCTTTGTATGACCTGCAAATGAGGCCATAAATATCTTCCTTGGCAGAAAGAAGGATCTCCAACCCCGGTCTAGAGAAATAAAAACTATGTATCACCACCCCTTCCCAAACAAAACAAAATTACTTCAAATCATATGCAGGTACAAAATAATGATTATAAGAATTTCCTTTAAAAATGGCACTGAAACTGGAAAAAATGCTAATTAATAAAAATTAACAGAAAATGTCAAGATTATGTGGATATGGTCACTGAAGTAATCTTTCACAGAACTTTTAGCTAATTCTCCCTGTTTTGTCAAATAAAAAATATGGATTATGAGAAGAAATTTCTTTAAACAAGATTTCCCATAGTGCACTGGGAAACTGCTGCACAAAACCTTTCTAAAGTGTTGAAGAGCAAGCATAACACTCTGGGGCCTAATGTGCGCCTGAGCCAAGCCATGGGATTTCCAATCACCACCCATCCACGCGAAAGTTAGACCTTGAATAAGGAAAAATCAAAGAAAAATAGGTGAGTATGAATTACAGTGCTGGCAAAGAATACTGAAAACACCCTGCACAACCAGAGGAGCCAACAAATCTGTCTTGGAAGAATTACAGGCAGAAGCTTAGAAGAAAGGGTGATGAAGACTTTGTCATTATCAGGAGAGACCAGTAGCTGAAAAAGTACATCATGCTTGGTAAAGGAGAAGGTGGAGAAAAAAGAGGAAGACCCTAAATGAGATGAGCTTGATACAATAACTGCAGCAACAGGTTTCAATCTCACAACTGTGAGGAAGGTGAAAGACTGGGCAGAAGTCTCTAGCGACTATGGGTCGCTAGGAGTAGGTAGTGAGTTTGTGGCACCTAACGTCAAAATAGAGATGTCAAGGTTAACATAGCTAAAAGTAACTCAGTTACAGAATTCTAGGATAAAAGAAATGTATCATTTGAGTTTATGGGCTCTAACAAGAGAATGTTGGAATAAGAATAAAAGCATACCCTTAAACTGCAATAAAATGAGCAAGTATAAAAGAAATATTATGTATCAAAACACATCAAATTTGAACACCAATGATAACTCTAAGAATCTCTAATTATAATATTCATTACCCAGATTTCCTAAGTAATAAGTATGTCTAGACTTTGTATACCTAAGAACATCTATTTCATCTTTTAGGGCTCTTGTTTCTTCAGCAAGACTAGTTAATTCATCATTCCTGTGTTGAAATTCAATTAGTTGCTTTTCAAGTTCTTCACAGTGAACACGGTAATCATCTTTTGCAGCTTCAAGCCTTATATAAGAAAATAAAAACAAAAAAAATATTACTTATAATGAAAGTAACACAATTTCTTTTCCAAATGAAACATGAGCTTCCTAGCCAGATATACTTGGAAAAAAATGTTACTTATAATTTTACAATCAAAAGAGGCAAGGCTACAAAATATATTTGAGAAGTCTTAGTTAGCTTTGAGATAGATTTGAGAAGTCAACATGTTCCGAATTCTCATTTTCTGAAACAGTGCTTGGGTTCTTTTTGCTTTATTTTTAAATTTTTAAATCATTTTATTAGGGGCACATACAACTCTTATAACAGTCTATACATACATCAATTGTGCTAAGCACATTTGTACATTCATTGCCCTCATCATTCTCAAACCATTTGCTCTCCACTTAAGCCCCTGGTATCAGCTCCTTATTTCTCCCCCTACCTCCCCGTTTCCCCCTTCCTCATGAACCCTTGATAATTTATAAGTTATTTTGTCATATCTTACACTGTCCGACATCTTCCTTCACCCACATTTCTGTTGTACGTCCCCCAGGGAGGAGATTATATGTAGATCTTTGTAATCACTTCCCCCTTTCCACCCCACCCTTCCTCCACACAGTGCTTGGTTTTTATCATTTTAACTTCTAATTATGAAGATAAAATGGGTAAGATACATATGTAAACTACTCAAATATATAAACCAAAAACCAAACTCACATACAGTTGATTCTGACTCATAAGTGACCACACTAAGGTTTCCAAGGCTGTAAATATTTGTAGGAGCACACAATCTCGTCTTTCTCCTGCAGAGTAGGAGACGGTTTGAATGGACAACTTTGTGGATAGCAGCCCAATGCCTAGCCCACAGCACCACCAGGGCTAAGAATGAATACTTCAAACCCTATAGCAACAAAAACTAAAATAATAATTCAAATAAAGTACTGAGGAATTATTTGATTAACCCAACAGAATACAAGAAAGGAAGAACAAAAGACTATGAGACAAATAAAAAAGCAAAAGTAAAGTGATAAACCTAAATGCAACAATTACACAAAGGCAGATATGATCAAGGCATAAAAAGACCAAAGCTTAAATATATACTTCAAACTTATGGAAGTAATCAATTCATTAGAAAGACATTCATAAATACATATACATATGATAACAGTTTAAAAATAAAAGGAGCCTTGGTGGTCCTATGGGTTGGGTGTTAGGCTGCTATGCAAAATGACCAGCAGCTGTGTCTGCAGGAGAAAAATGAGATTGTTTGCTCTAGCAAAGAATTAGTCTCAGAAAACTTTTATATATGTACCTCCGTGAGAGTCAGGCTTGACTTGCTGGCAATGGTTTGGTTTTAGTCAAAATACATGAAGCAAAAGTTGACAGAGCAAAGGTGGAAATACAGAAATACAAATCATGGGTGAAGATTTTAATACTAGTCATTCATTTGATAACTAAGGAGTTATGGTTAAGTGCTCAGCTGTTCAAACCTCCTCAAAAGCTTAGCAGTTCAACCTCTTCAAAAGTGCTTAGCAGTTCAAACATCCTCAAAAGCTCTGTGGGACAAAGACTTAGCAATCTTATCCCACAAAGATTACAGCCTAGCAGTTCTACTCTGTCACATGGAATTGATATGAGCCAAAAAACAAAACAAAACAAGCAACTCAACAGCAACAACAAATAAAAATATCAGGGAAATATAGGAGACATGAACAATATTAGCTAAATGATCTTCTAATTGTCATCTATAGAACACTTCAACCACAAATTATTGGATACAAATTCTTTTCAAGTACACATGGAAGATTTATCATAATAAAATATATGATTACCCAAGAGGTGGGCTCTCTGAGATAAAGGGGAGGGGGAAGGAGATAAAGAAAAAAAAAAGAGGAGTGCTCTGAAAAATTATTTAAAAAAAAAAAAAGAAAATTTAAGGAAGAGAACATATGAGATACTTGATGGATTAGGACATATAAATGGCAAATAAGTATGTAAAGGAGCTCGGTTCATTACTAGTTATCAGAAAAATCAAATTAAAGCAACCACTAGATATTACTAAAGGAGCCCTGATAGTGTAGTGGGTTATGCCTTTGGCTGCTAAATGCTCCCATAAAGACTTACAGTCTCAGAAATCCAAAGGGGCAGTTCTGTCCGAGCCTATAGGGTGGTGAGGAGTTGGAATTGACTCAGTGACAGTGGTGGGTTACAGAGACTGGTAAAATCAAATACTGGTATAGAGGCAGTGCAACTTGAACTCTCAAACACTGCCCATGAAGACATAAAATGGTATATCCACTTGGAAAATGTTTTGTCAGTATCTTTCAAAATTAAACATAGATTGATTGTATGCAATGCCAGCACAAGTTACTGACCATGACAAGTGAAATAGTATATTCACAAAAACTCTCCAATGTTCATACCAGTTTTACTTATATTAGCCCTAAACTGGAACCCCAAGTGCCCATAGAAAATGCACAAACAAAATATACAGAACAATTCCCTATGATGGGGCAGCACTCAGCAATAAAGACAAAGGAATAACTGATACATTTAATAACATGGTGCACCTCATAAATATGCTAAACAAAAGAATAAGTCACCAAAAAGAGTTCATCCTACATAATTCAATTTGTGTCAAATTTAAGGATAAACCAAGAGGACCATGGAAAAACATCAGAATAATCAATAGGCTTCTAAAGAAGTGCTTCCCAAAATGGGTGATACAGTCTCCCTGGGCAGCACAGGATAATCCAAGTGGGCTGCAATAGCATATTCCTACACTTCACTCTATATTGTGAGCTATAGTGTAAATTTTTAATGGCCAAGGAAGCAATGAGACAAATTTTCTAATTTTGATGAAATTACTGTACTCTGATTAAAAAGTCCTGGTGGCATGGAGGTTACACTTTCAGCTGCAATCCACAAGGTCACCTTTTCAAAACCACCAGCAGTTCCATGGAAGAAAGACAGGGCTTTCTATTCCCGTAAGGAGTTAAAGTTTCAGAAACTCACAGAAGCAGTTTTACAGGAGTCTTACAAGGTCACTAAGAACTGGCATCTACTTGATGGCAGCGAGTTTGATTTATGCTGATTATGTAAGAAAGCACTCTTGTTCTTAGGAAGTAAACAATGTAGTACAGAGGAATACGCGTCAGCAATTAGCGGAAGACAAGGATATCTCCAGCTTACCTTCAAATGCTTCAGAAAAAAAGAGAAATGCATACCTATGAATATATACATAATAAAATATATAGGGATAATGAAAAATATATGCATAATAAAGTATACAGGGAAAAGGTTAAATCTGAATACATGGTATAAAGAATTTCTTGTACAATGCTTGCAACTTTAAAAATTTATGTCATAAGCATCAAGATCCATTGCTGTTAATCCTAATTCAACTCACAGTGACCTTATGTAGTTTCCAGGGTTATAATATTTACAAAATCAGATTGCAACATTTTTCATCCATGAAGCAGCTGGTGGATTTGAATCACTGACCTTTGGTTAGCACCCAAGGGCTTACCACCATGATTCCTTATATGGAAAGAAAACAACTACAACAAAAGTGTAATTAGAGTATGGGCCCTTAAACATGAAAGGATCAGCGACTAGCATACAAGAGATAACCCATGTTCATTCAAAGTAAGAATGGGAGCATTCAATATTTTTAAAGAATATATAAAAGTAAAAATTATGTCTTTAATATTTACAGCTCCCATTATTTGGGGGCTCCTTCTCCAGTATAAACTTCCTATCCCCCCTGTCTTCATCAGCAATCACACCCTTCTATGCAGTCTTGTTGAACTTGCTTATAGCCTTTCAGCTGAATTATATACGATTGGGAATTGTTTTTACATGTGTCCTCCGTTTGACGGATGAGATTGTAACCTTTATGAAGGCAGGAACCATTTTGCCTGGTATCCTTAGCAACGTAGTCACATCCTTAAAAATGGGTAGTAATTCACTGTCTATGTTATTATTCCTTTAAAGCTACCAGCTGAATACACAGAACTCTATTAGAATGACTTCTTTTGAAAATTCTACCTGAAGTTTTCTTCCTGTAATTGTTCTAGTTGCAATTGTGCGTGAAAATACTTTTTTGCAACCATTGTATTTGGATCATCAAAAGATCCATCCAATTGGTCAAGCTTCTCATTCATCATCTCATTCTCAGAAACCAGTGAGCTCTTTTCATCTTGAAGTGCAGTTACCTAAAGAACAAATAAATGCACAGCATCAGCATAAATAACAAAAACAGTTCTTAAGAGTCTAATTCTGAAGTCTTTTGGTCCCTCAGACAGCATGATTTCCGAGAATGTCCATGAGGCTAGGTTCACATAAAAGAAATCAAGTAAAAATAAATACATATCAAAAGGAAACTAAGAACATCTTAAAAATGTGAAGTCTGTCTTAGTTTTAGGAAGAAAGTATTTCTAAGCTTCTTAATTTGACATACCAATGAACTTCATAAGTATATAGTTATTATTTCAGTTCCATAGTAGAAAAATACCAGTCATATTCATACATATTCACAGGACAACCATATTTAGTTAATTAATCAGTAACTGAAAGGCAGTACTATATCCATTTGTACACTGAATCTTTTTATGTTTTAAAGGGCAGAAATATGTAGGCTTAACACCTTATCAAAAGTCAGCAATTGGATTTATTTTAACAGTTTTATTGACATATAATTTAAAAAATCACATACTACAATGGTTTAAAGATATTAAAAGAGTTGTACAATCATCATCACAGTCATTTTTGGAACATTATCTTCATTCTTGTACTCATTATAATTAACTCCTCATTTCCTCCCAACCTCACCTCTATAACCCTAAGAAACCATTAATCCAGTTACTGTCACTACAGATTTATCGTGATTTCTTAAAATTAACATTTTTGAAACAGGCTTGATTCTTTTGGTTTTATTACTTTCCCACTTAAAAACATTCTCATGATTTTATAGTTGAGGTTGTGACTAGAAGTTTACATATGATTTTAGCATGGAAGTAAGATTAAAAAGGTACAGAGCTATGACATAAGCAAACAGATGCATATCCATGTTTATCACAGGGGCATTCACAACAGCAACAGTCCAATGGCAAGAATGGAAAAATACATTTTGGCACATACACACAATGGAATATTATCCAACATTAAAAACCAATGATGAATCTCTGAAATACCTTATGATATGGATGAAACCTGGAAGATATTACACTGAGTAAAATTGGTTGAAAACAAAAGGAAAAATATTGTGAAACCACTGTTACTTAAAAAATGCCTAGAATTATTTTAAAACGAAAAGACTTTAATGATTACTGTCATTGTGAGGGAAAAGTACAGAAAGGAGGACACAAGCAACAAGTGCTAGTTGGGGAAAGGGGTAAATAATACCCAACAAGAGTGAGATTGGGGGTAAAATTAATGGAAACAGGGCAAGGCAATGGCAGCACCTTCACCTAGTTCAAAACAAAAAGTGAAAAAACAACAAAAACCTGGCTGCCAGACTGTTGTAATGAGGTGGACTGCATGTTGCTGCGATGCTGGAAGATAGGTTATCAGTATTTCAAATACCAGGGGGGTCGTACACGGAACATGAATTGCAATGGAGCTTCCTTCCATAAAAAAGCAAAGTAGAAAGAACAACCTGGTGGGCTACTTCTGAAAAAAATTAGCAGCAGGAGAACCATTATGAACAACAGTAAACCATTCATTCTCTGATATAGTGCCACAAGATAAGCTCCTCAGGTTGAAAGGCACTCAAAGCACGACCGGTGAAGACCTAACTTCCCAAAACAGAGTCAACCTTAACGACACAGATGGAGCAAAGCTTTCAGGAAATGGATCTGTTTATGTGACATGACTCAGAATAAGGAGAAACAGCAGCAAATATTTATTAATAATTGGGACATTATTTATTAAGTGGAATGCATAAGGATTGATATCCCTAAGGCATTAATAACCTAAATCAAACTATTATTAGTCATTTTGAATCAATCATATGGTCTACTATGCTGGGAATGAAGTACCAACCTGTCATTGATAGAATTATGATAGAATTATATTCATATGCCTTTAAGAAAGACCAGGTAAAATGACCACTGTTAAAATTTATGAACAAGTCATTAATGCCAATGATGAAGAAATGGATTATTTTGACCAAAGTTTAAAGTCTGAAATTGATCAAATACGAAACCAATATGGACTGGTAAATACTGGCAATGATAAAACAAACTTGGAAACAAGAGGTTTATTTTCTGTACCTGCAGATCTAGTTCTTGGCATCTTTGCCTCAGCTCCTCTTTTTCTGCCAGTGCTTCCTGGAGTCCTTCCAAGGCCTTTTTAAGCTGAAACACAAAATGCTCCAATTCTGAGTAATACAAATTTTGACAAAATAGAAAAAAACAAAACAAAAATAACTCTTCATATAATACATATATAATGGTATTAGAAATGTTTTTATTTAGCAATTAATAAAGCACCCTAATTTGTTGGCTCTATGTGAATAGTATCTACATATCTTCACTAACATTTATGGGTAAGGTCTCACAGTAAGAAAAAAAAGTACATAAATCCTATGAAATATTTAACAAAAAAAGTAGTAGAGAAAGCACCGTTTCAACTATTCTTAGAAAAATTTAGAGAGAGCAGAGCATATTTAAAGCATAAATATACTTTCCATTGACAAAATTTTTCTCTATTTTACAGTTGTTAAGAATCTAGACGGCACAACATTTGCTACTTCAATTGTCCTACGTGTAAAAGTCAGTGATACTGGTTGCAGTCTCAGAGTTGTGCGAACATTTTCATTCTCCTTTTCCTGGTTGCTCCTTCTCCATAAACATTGCTCACTGCTAAGATTCCTATTTCATTTTTCAAACTGGCATTGCACCTTTGATTTCAAATAAACTTGTATAATTCTTAAAAAAGTTTAAAGCTCAAAGAAGGTTAGTTTTTATAAGTTAAACTGCTGTTTGGGTTTAAGACAGGATTTTGGGGAGAGGGTGTTTAAAGTTTAAAGATTTATCGCAGGGTAATACTTTCAGCAGTTCATCTCTATAGCCCTAGAAAGTATGGAGTGCAAGAGAATTTTAATTCTAGTATAGATATTTGCTCTTTTGATCAGGATTCTTCTGTAGAAACTTTGATCATAATGCTCAGCTCAGTAACGGCACCACCAGCTTCTGGCCTTCTGTCAAAGGAAGCAGTTGTTCATGGAGGTCACACACTCCCCATTTTCCTACCCTCCCTGGTGAAGAGAGCTTAATTGTGGTACCTTGGATGTCCACTTGCTGTTTAAGAGTGCAGGCACTAATCAACAAATTAGAGAAGAAGCACTACACAGGTTACCAATTCAATCAATTAGGATGTCCCATGAAACCATGACCCTAAGCTTCTAAACCAAGAATCAAACCTCATGAGGTTTTCAGTCATACTTAAGTAACTTCAGCAATTATTGTCTCTCACTCTTCCCTGCCCCCCCTGGCATTGTTATAAATCTGTCACAAAACTTCTGCAAATTCAATGTTTGTCTTTTTTTCAGGTGTATAACCTATTGATAAATTATAGTAATCAGCTGTACAATTATCTTAATCAATACATTTGAAAAAATAATTTGCAATAATTTTCTAGATGAATGGTGACAGAAGAAATAAATTTCTACAAATATTTTTAACAGGAAAAATACTTGAGATACTTACTTCTCCTCTTACCTTTTCCCTTAAACCTCAGGGTTATAGATACATAACAAGGATGTCTTTTCCTTCATGTTAAATAGTTATTTAATATAACCAGGGAGAGAGCCTTAAATACAGAGTTCTTGAGCTGTTTCTTCAATGTCAAGAGAAATGCTAGCTATTATGATAAAACTGTATTACCTTACTTAGTAAACTAAGCTTAAATTTAAATTCAGCATCTTAAACTATTCTCTATTGTTTAATTTTATAACCATATTACCAAACAAATATTACAAGAGTTAGATGCAAATTTCAATCATATTCAAGTCAGAGCAGGATAAACTTACATTTCATAGATGAAATGCTATCGTACATGATCCCTGAGTTAGTTAATTGTGCCAGCCTGGCCGATAATCACATGTGGTGCTGGTTGAAAGGCGGAGGGATAAATGGGTGGTGAAGCCTCGCCTTTCGAGTTCTCGGGTCTCTTGCTTTGTGATGGTCGCACCAGGATGCAGCTGCCTTAGCAGCTCCCTGCTTCAGCTTGCAAGATTGACATCCTACAAGACATCCCCAAGGAGAAGCCGCATGGATCTATCCTGATGCAGCGCTGGGTGCTGGAGCAGCCGTGTGGAGACCCTTGCCAGTGCTGAGATGCTTACACGTTCATGGACTCAGCTTTCCTCCTGCAGTCGGCATCATTGCCTCTGTTCTGTGAGGTGGAGGACTTTGTGGACTGGTGTTGGGTTAATGGGTTAATGTTGGACTTGTGGGCTTGGGCAGCATTGGGTTGGGATATTTTCGTGATGCACCTTTTCTTTACATAAAACTCTCTCTTATACATGAGTCGCTGTGGATTTGTTTCTCCAAAGTACCCAGACTAATACAATCCCCTATCTAAACCACTTGGCAGAGGAACTATGTTCAACATTTTCATGACACACTGAAATACCTACCTGTTGTTCTAATTCACCAACAGTGTCATTTGTAGGAGAGTTCAATATTTCTTTACTCATCAACTAGGAAACAAAAATAGTAAAATTAAGTACAAATAATATTCTTCTTGCAGAAAATAAATATTCATTTGAATGGGAGTATAATCATTTACACTTATTTTCTTGCTTTAATTTGATCCTTATAACATGATTCAAATAAATATTTTATTATAAGTTTATATTAAATAATACAAAGTTGAAAATCTATATTGGTGAAGATATAAGAATGCTTTGAATATGTAAATAGATTTAAACTATTTTTGTACAGAAAAGGAGGCATTATACAATTTTTAAAAAATCCTGTAAAATAATTTTCTTTACCTATGGTGATATTTCAAATCCAAACTAATGATGGAAACTCAGAACATATAGACTGCTTCAGTCCTGTAGATATCCTGCTAAATTATGCTGTGTTTTCCCTCAGCAGTCCTTCACTCTACTTCATCTCAACCTTTTAGCCAAATTTTAAGAATCAATCTTCTGAATCACAAACTCTTAGTCAACCAGGAAAGTAAACTGCTTTAATCTGGGTTACTCGTCTTCAAAACTTAAACACTCTCATATTTGCTCACAGATCTAAGCTCCTGAAAATACATTTGATGTAGATAAACAAGCTCTGAAATCTCTGAAAAGATTGCTCTGGGAGAAATTAAAATTCCATCCGGGCAGAGATTATACCCTATTTAATTGAAGTTATAAAAAGAAACTAAGCTACTATATTAGTTTATCAACAGACTTTTAAAGTGTAGAGATTAAAACTGGGTTTGAAGGCCTTTTAAAGTATTTTCAGAAAGAGAAGACACCATAAGCTAAAATAAGTAAAGGGCTGCAAAGGGTAAGTTTATACAGACAGCAAAAAAAATAGATTCGTGAACTAATGTCATTGTTTAGAATTTTCATGCATATGTGAATATGAAATAGCTTACCTCTTGAATAGCAGTCATGACCACATGCTGAACAGATTCTTCCAAAGTCATTATATTTTGAATATGTTCTATGATTTAAAAAAAATCATATCTGAAAAAAAATCTACTTAAGACCCATAGTATATTGACCATCCAATTAACAGAACTTGAAAATTCATTAAAACAGATCATTCTTTATGGAATTAGATTATTTTTCCACTGAAGGAAATACTAAGTTTATAAAATAGTCATAGTAACATTTTTAAATGTTTTCCTTTTTCTTAAAGAATAAATACTCTGAATTTCTTACAAGGAAGAAAAAAAATTGCAATAAATCTTACAATTATTAATTTATTCCCTTTTGTTAAATATTCAATATTCAATATCAGTAAAGAAATTTATCACCTGAAGAAGCCTGGGTTATGATTTAAGGGCTGCATATTTATTTTTGAAAAAATAAATGTAAAGTTCATTCTCACAGTGAAATCACAAATCAAAATCAATGAGTAAAAGATGGAGTGTCTACTGTATCCCAAGCACTAAAGAGACTAGAGAGTGAGTTATAAGGATATAAAGCTTATAGCCAGTCAATAGGCAGCGCAGAATATAGATACTAATGAAATACTGAGGTTTTTTGAAACAAACAGGCTAGAATTCAGGTATTCGTTCTGTCTCTTATTCTTGAGTGCTGTCCGCAAAAATAAGAGTACATTTGCTTCCTTCTTGGACTGCAATATAGGTCGGTTCTAACGACTGAAATTCACTTACCTTGCTTCTTTTCACAATTGATGGCACAACCTAAAATTAGCTGGAGTAACCTCCCAAGTTCCACTGAATCTGAGCATTCGGTTATTTGGTTTAAATCAGGGATAAGTTCTTCAGATATCTGCTGCCCCAAAAACTGCAGTATCAAACCATAAATTAGGGTCACTCATTTACATAGGCTACAATGAAACAACTGCACTGGATTATCACAATGGAAATAAACAGTAAATAAACTCAAAAAAGGCTCAGATAAACTAACAAATAATGAGTCCGTTACTACAGATTAATGTTCTAAACACCTAAGATTGTGAATAAGCAACAAAAAGACACTATAATAGTTTTACTACGAAGAGCTATAAGAGCCCCCAATAAAATGATCTTTAAAAAAATAAATCATTATCAAGGAGAACTTTTAATTGAAGGAAGGAGCCTCTAACATAAAACACTATGAAAAAATTTATGATTTTCCATTAAATGACAAGTTTATATTAAGTCAAAGGACACAGTAATTGAATATAACAAACTACTAGAAAACCACAATATATACTGCCAAACTTCTAAAAATGAATAAATAATCGCGAGATTAACATTCCATGTTTTAGTTATCATTTGTTCAATGTAATAGAAAGTTATGTTGATATTTATAAAAGCTTCAAAATGCATTTTAGGCAATAATACATTGCAAATTTTCAGAGTTCCCTTAAAATTTTTGGAATAAATTATTACTGTAATTGTGAGATTAAAGATAGAAATAATAAGTATTTAATAGCAAACACAACCCAAAAGGTTTCAATTATTAAGCAATCCAATTTCTGAGAAAGAATTGTCTTTCTATCAAGCTACTTTTCTAGATAACTTTTTTGATACCGAGTAAGAAACAAACTAGTATCTAATATGATTTTTATACTAGCTACATTTAGCTACTTTCCCAATTTTTTGAAAAGGAAAATCTCACATTATACCCTTACTACTGTTTACAAGGAAAGGATATTGTCAAAATAAGAGAATGACTTAAATACAAAAATACTTTAATAAGTCTGCTTTATAGTACTGCATAAATTAAAATCATATAAAAATGAAGGTCTTACAAAACTATCAACTTTAAGAATATGCATATGCTTGAGAGGATATTCCCAGAAAAAATGGAAAGCGATGTATTTAAATTTTGTTACAAAACAACCTTGTCACCTTCAAAGTACTCTCCATTACACTTAATACATTTGTCATGTCTGAGATTCCCTTCTTGGAAACATTTTTCAAACTCATCTGTTTGGATGGCTGACAGCACTTCTCTCATTTTTTTTCTTCACCTCTTCTATGTTATCAAATCATTGTCCTTTCACGTCCCTCTTTGAGGAAACAAAAAGAAGTCGCATGGAGCGAGATCAAGTGAGTACGGTACGTGGGACAAGAGAGGCATGTTGGTTTTTGCCAAAAAAAAAAAAACTAGCACACTGAGATGACTGCGTAAGAGGTGCATTGTCATGGTGGCAAAACCAGTCCTGTCTACCACAAATCAGGCCTTTTTTTGTCACATACTGTTCGGAAATCTTTTCAGAACCTCTAAATAGAAAGCTTGATTAACAGTCTAACCTGGCGAACTAACTCCAAATGCACTAACCCCCCTAACATCAAGAAAACCCTCATGTATAGAGTATTAGTTTAAAATATATTTTTAAATTTTAAGTGTTATAAAAAGTACTTTGTATTTAAATTTACATACCTCATGGTAATAGCTCATAATTCCTTGAAGAACCTTCTTTAAATTATTGGTCTAATTCAGGAAAAAAAATAAATCCTTATTTTCTACTGATAGTGAAAAACAATTTATGCAACAGTAAACTTTTTTTTATAAAAAAGTGAAACAAAAGCTAAGTATTAGAATTTTATAAATGCAAGTATATATTTTTATACATGAGCAATTTAATCACATGAACTAAAACAAAAAAGTCTTTAAATTTATATTTTTAAGGTAGAATGCTTCTATTTAAAATGAGTTACAACCATTTCAGTGTCTACTCTAATGATAATTATAAGCACATCTACCTTCAGTCATGAGCAACCAAAAGTCTAGGCCCACTCTCCTGCTATAACTGACTAGAAGACAAGACAAAATACCAGAACAAATGTTTTCAAAACTTTAGTTTACAAGAAATAGATAATTCTATTGAGAGAAGGAAAACACGATGAGCCCTAGGCTAGACCGAGCTTTCGTTATAAAGGCGATTTTCAGAAGGCAGAACAAGGACGTTGAAACTAAGCAAAGCCTAATGTTCTCATTAAGTTGCAATCATAAGACATCAGAAGTTTAGCAAGGCTAATGAGACCAGTCTTTGCAAAAAAAGTCAAATAAAGAGGTGGGAGCTAAGTAGATAAATAAATCAATATATCAGAATAGTGGTCCCTTGACTCTGATTAAATATAAACTTACATGTGCATGAGTTAAATACAACAAGATTTATCAGCAAAAAAGTTTCAAGGAGAGAAAATTGAGAGTTGTAAGCTTAGTAAAGTGCTGAAAATAGATAATAAAGTGAAAATACTAAAAACAGGGTAAATTGGCATCGTATATAAAGGGGAAACAATGGTAAAAACTACTACAGATTTCTCATCAGAAAACGACCAAATCTGAATACAATTAAATGACATTTTTAATGGACTGCAAGACAAAAGTTATTAAACTTCAATTTTATATTTAGCAATATCTTTAAAAAATGAGATCCACCCACCACACTGAGGCAAAGCACTGGGGGAGTGCAGCGGAACAGCAAGGGAATGGAGCAGCAAGGTCCCCAGGGAATGCTGAAGGTGGACTTTGGGGCCAGGGCATGGTGCCC